CAGAAGAGGACACAGCACAAGAGATAGTGCTGATGTCAGGTGGATCCTGACTGAAAGCAGAGACTACCAGAAAGATGTTTACCTGTGTTTTATTGACTATGCAAATGCATTTGACTGTATGGATCATAACAAATTATGGATAACATTGCAAAGAATGAAAATCCCAGAACACTTAATTGTGCTTATGTTGTTATGTGCTATCGAGTCAGACCCAACTCATAGCAACCCCTCCTTGGGTTTCTGAGGCAGTATCACTACGGAAGTAGATTGCCCAATCTTCCTTCTGAGGAGTGGTTGGTGGGTTTGAACCGCCAGCCTTCTGGGTAGCAGTCAAGTGCCTTAGGCACTATGCTACCAGAGCTCCCATTGTACTTATGAAGAACCCGTATATTGACTAAGAGGCTATCAAACAGAACAAGGGACTACCGTGTGGTAGTTAAGGTTGTTGTCAACTTGGCTGGGCCTGGTTGCGTGGCTGGGCAGCTGGAGGTAGTTATTCCCCATGGTGAGACTGGCAACCAACTCCATGGTGGGAGCTACCACGAGTAGCTGAGTTGTCTGCTTCCTGTATACAAGCAGCAGCTTTGGGAATGGTCTCTAGCTTATGGCATTCTTGAACCCTGCATGTAGTCGAGTCATTGTTCAGCAACCTGCCATGCTCTGCTAATCTTGGGACCTTCAATGGACTTGAATCAATGGCCTGCCGTGTGGTTTGGTAATATCGGTACTGTGCCTTTTTACTTGTTGATCTTGGGTTTGTCAGCCTCAGAAGCTGCCTGAGTAAAGAGATGCCTCTAGCTTCAATGAACCCCAAGGTCAAGGGGCTTTCACCCAGCCCATGAGCCTGGCACTTTGAAATCAGACTTCTAGCCTCCCAAACTGTAGGAGAATAAACTCCTGTTTGTTAAAGCCATCTCATTTGTGGTATATTCCTGTCAGAGCAGCACTAGGTAACCAGAACATACTGCATGCCTTAAAATCAGGAAAGGTATGCATCAGGATTGTATCCTATGACCATACTTATTCAATCTGTGTACTGAGCAAGTAATCTGAGAATCTGGACTATATGAAGAAGAACATGACATCAGGATTGGAGGACAACTCCTTAACAATCTGTGATATGCAGATGACACAACCTCGCTTGCTAAAATGAAGATGACTTGAAGCACTTACTGTGTATGGATTACATCTCAACATAAAGAAAACGAAAATCCTCACGACTGGACCAATAAGCAGCATCATGATAAATGGAGAAAAGATTGAAGTTGTCAAAGATTTCATTTTACCTGGATCCACAATCAACACTCATGGAAGCAGCAGTCAAGAAATCAGACGTTGTATTGCACTGAGCATATCTGCTGCAAAAGACCTTTTCAAGGTGTTGAAAAGCAAAGATGTCACTTTGAAGACTAAGCTGCACCTAACATAACCCATGATATTTTCAATCGCCTCATATGCATGTGAGAGCTGGACAATAAGGAAGACTGAAGAAGAGTTGACTTTTTGTTTTGGTTATCTAGTGCCGCTCTGACAAGAATATACCCAAATGGAACAGCTTGAACAAACAGGAATTTATTCTCTTACAGTTTGGCGGCTTTAAATCTGAGTTCAAAGTGCCAGGCTTTATGGGGTAAGTGAAAGCCCCTCAAACTTGGGCTTCAGCTTTGTCTCCTACTTCTGGCCCACTGAAGCCAGAGGCTTTTCTTCACTCAGACAACTGCTGGCTGTTAAGGCTGGCAAGCCCAAGGTCGACAAGTAACAAGGTACAGTCCCGATATTACCAAACCGCACAGCAGGCCATTAATTCAAGTCCATTATAAGTCCCAGGATCAGCAGAGAACAACAACTCGGCTACACGCAGGGTTCAAGCGTGCCATAAGCTAGAGACCATGCCCAAAGCTGCTGCTTATATACAGGAAGCAGACCACATCCCTAAAGTAGCTACTCAGCTGCTTATGGTAGATCCCACCATGGAGGTGATTGCCAGTCTCATCATGGGGAATAACTACCACCAGCTGCCCAGCCACTCAATCAGGCCCAACCAAGTTGACACACAACCTTAACTACCACACCTTTAAATTACGGTGTTGGCAAAGAATACTGAAAATACCATTGACTGCCAGAACAAACAAATCTGTCTTGGAAGAAGTGCAGCCAGAATACTCCTTAGAAGCAAAAATGTCCAGACTTCATCTCACCTACTTTGGTCATGTTGTCAGAAGGGACCATTCCCTGGAGAAGAATATCATGCTTGGTAAAGTAGAAGTTCAAGGAAAAAGGGGAAGACCCTCAACGAGATGGATTGACACCATGGCTTCAGTGATGGGCTCACGCATAGCAAAGATTGCGAGGAGGGCACAGGACCAGGCAGGGTTTCATTCTGTTATACTCAGGGTTGCTGTGAGTCGGAGCCAACTTGATGGCATCTAACAACAACAGCATAGGCCCATAGATCCAAGAGTGAATTCCAAGCACGGAAAAACATGAAAAAAAGGACACTAACCAATGGTAAAGAAGAAACCTTGTGTGTGGAAATGCAGGGATTGAGAGGGGTGACCCTGTTGGCAGAGGCCCCTGGGGTAGCTTTGGGCACCCATAGAAGCTCTGAGCTCCTTCTAGGATATTGGCCCATTCCTAGTGTCCTTCACACAGGCTCCCCAGCTCCTGCTTCTCCTCTCCCAGGGCCTTGGGCCTGCCTCCTCTTCACCCCCCATATCATGCCGCTACCTCACTCCACGGGCTGGGGTCTCCCCAGCATCCTTTTTTGCCGAGGCAGAGCCGGAACTGATTCCAAGAGGAAGCCTATTAGCCATCACTGCCATCATCACTCTGATCCCAATTCCTGGAGGCTGAGCTCTGCATACAGTTGGTGCCCAACTGATGTTCCTGGAGTCAGACAGAATCCCTACCTCACACTGCTGCCTCCAGCCAGCCTTGTTCTAGCCAAACCTCCATGCTTCCAGCAGCACACACCCCACCTACCTCCATCCCACCAAGTGGCCTTCCCACTGCTCTTTCCTGGCCCTGTGTCCTGGCTACCTAGCAGAGGCTCAGCCACCAGGGTGCACCACCGGCCCGAGCCTCTGCCAGTGCCTCTCCTGGGCCTCTCACACTGCACATATCAGGAGGTCCACGTGTCCCTGACTCTCCAAGGAACGCGGAGGCTTGGGATGTAGTGGATGAGGCGCTGCCTGAAAAAGCCAGGATGCCCCTCCCCTCGAGGCCACGGTCCCTCAGGGCACCACGCCCGAACTGCAAGCAGAGGCCCCTGGCGTAGGTCTGACCACCACGGTCTGCACATGGCCATATTCCCGCTCAGCCCGCCTCCATCGTCCCCGCTTGCCAGGGCTCAGAGCGCCGGCCTGGCTCTGCGTCTGTTTTCTCAAAGCCCTGGAGGTACTGTAAAAACTCTTAGGATTCTTGTAACCCCGTTTATTTCTCTCCAAGCTGGCAGCCCGACAGACTCCAGTTATGCTTGCTGCTCAATTATTTATCTGCTTGCCCCTCCCCCCACACTCCAAAATCCTTAACACGACTCCTGGGAGCGGGTCTCGATCCGCTCATCCCCACTCCAAATGAAGGAATTCCAAATTCTGGTGTCTTTAATTTTTTATCACCCAAACCAAGGACGTGGTATTTAAGTTTATTGAGGGGTTGGAATCTGGCCACGTCACCAAGCCCGCTCTGCCCATACAAAAGGACCGCGGTCCTCCGGGCCTGGCTCTGCGTAGACTGCTGACTGCCCTCGGCCACTAAGTGCCCCAACCTCTTGCTTCCCAGTCTGTGTGGGTGGATAGTTCGGGGCACAGCCCAGCCCAGCCTGCCACACCTGGGCCCTTGTGCCACCAAAAAGCAGCAGTGGGACTGAGGCTTCAGGGCAGACATCCACACAGCATCTGCTCCCAGTCCCCAGAGCACAGGGGTGAGGCAGAGGACCTGGCCCTGGGGGCACAAACCGGTAGTGGCATGTGTATGGGCCAGCCACAGTTCCCTGCATGACAGAACCAAGGGAGTCCTCACAGAAAGACACAGCCAGGCCCTGTGGCCCACCTGCTCCTTGGCCCAGATATGGGTCCTCTATGCACAGTGACCCTTCCCCCAGCCAGTTGGCCTTCCAAAGGTCTTCATCTACCCCCACTGCAAATCTCATAACTGCCACGGTGGGGACCTCTGTGTGATTGAATCCCCGTGTGAACATGTCCCATGCCTTTGGGACACTTGGGGGCTGAGGTCTGGAGCCCTGGTGGGGTGTCTTCTGGCAGGGGTAACTAGAGGACAAGAGAGCCCATCAGACAGGGTGAACCTGTGGTGTGCTCCAGGCCTCCCCACCCCACCTGCCTCCTCAGCAGGACTGGCAGAAGGTATCTCTGAAGGGACACATGTTATTAGCACAGCTTCCCCTCCCTGCCTCCCACCTCCACAGTGAGTCTCAAACACCCAGGTGGCCAGCCGCTAGTTGTTATATCGCCAAAAATCAACGCCGCTCCTAAGAACCTTCCCACAGGTTGAACGTCTCAGCTGGTTTCTATATGGTCTACTCTGCACTGAGGTTCCATGTGAGGCTCACGCCAACTCCCCAAGGAATTACTTCTACTTCTGCACAAGGCAGCTCCAACTCAGGAGTGGGGCTCGTTCTGCCTGGGGTCCAGCGATGGGTGGGCTCTGACCAATGGACCCCTTCAGTCCCAGGGGAGAGCCAGGACAGGCTCTCTCCTCCCAAGGGTGGACCCCAGCCCCAGTGAGTAGGCAGCTCTGCCCTAGTGGGATGAGTCCATTGCTTCGTACCCTGGCAGGGCTGAGACCCTCAGACACACCCACTCCCAGAAGAATGGGACAACTGTGCCAGGGTACCCCGGGGATCTCACTGTCTTCAGAGCTGCCAGCATCCACCCCAGGTGCAGCCAGGCCCTGACGCCCAGCCCTGTGCCCAGGGTCAGGGGCTATGGAGTGCTGCTGGGGCCTGGGAGGCACACTGAAGGTCCCTCCTCTTCTCCCCACAGACCTGACGGGACAGCCATTGGGAAGGACCTGGCCACAGCAGAGCCAGTGGCCACAGCAGAGCCGGTGGCAACAGCTCACCCAGGTAGGTGGGCAGAGCCAGCCCTCAGCAGGAGAGGCAAGGGTATGGCCCCTGAGTGGGGTCCAGCCTCCAGCTCTCATCCCACAGTCTGAAGCACCAGGACACAATTGCCACTTCCATCAGTACTGGAAAGAGCCACCACCTACTCATTCATCTGATGGTGCCCTGACTGGGACCATCACCTCACATGTGGCAACTGTTAGATCCCTGTACATGCCCAGCTGGGCCCCCCAGCCCCCCTAGGAATCAGAAAGCTCAGTGGGCCTTGGCTGGGGGAGGGCACCCTGCCTGGACCCAGCCTGCTATCCCCCACACCAACTCTCCGTGTACCTGCTGTACGTGAAGGTACGTGCTGTACCTCCGTGTCCGTGAAGCTGCCCGCATCCAGCACTGTTCCAGGTGGAGAGAGACGCTGCAGGGAGCCAAGCTGGGGTAGCGAGACCCCTGGCCCAGAGCAGCGCCCAGGGTAAGGCCACTCTGGCGTGTCCTCACTGTGGGAATCAAGCCAGGCAGCTAGCTCTCCCTACTCAGCTAGGGTCCTCTAGGGGTGTCCTGCCTAGAAACCCCCCCACCCTGCACCCTACAGAAGCTGCAGGCTTGTGGCTCAGAGGGCCTGGCCCTGTGGTCTTTTCTGGTAACTTATTTTTAGCAGCCTTGTGCCACAGAGAGGCCATGGGGCCCAAGGCTCCCACAACACTGGCAGGGGGACCAGGGGAGGACTCAAGGTCCCCACTGCCTCTAGGTGAGTCCTCTGCTCCTCTCAGACCCTTGGCCTTCTTCTAACCCCTGGAGAGTGAACATGACCTTCAGGAACACTGTCTGGGGGGATTGGACACACTCTATGCCCATCTGTCTACAGATGGTCAGCATATAGAGGCCACCTCCTGCTGTGCATCTCCCTGAAAACCCCTCACCTCACCGTCTGTGCACCTGTGCCACACACCAAGTGTGTGGTGGCCATGGATGAGGGCCCATCCCTCAGTGGAAGAGTGCAAGTTAATCCCAGAGCAGCAGACACAGATGACAGGAGGAACCACTCTGATCCTTGGTCTTATCGTCAAAGGGGCAGGGAGGTGCATGTTAGGGTGATCTGACTTACCCAGAGGAGGCTTGGAGGATTACAAGCAATGTGAATGAGTCCGTGATCCATCTCATGTATTACCACACACTGGGGTGAAGGGCATCACTACATAGGAGACGGCTGCGGCTCAATCACCCAGCTTAACAGTAGTGGACCCAGTGCAGCTGGCCATTCATTGGTCCAACGCCCCATGGCCCTGCCTGCCCCTCTGCTGAGCACCTGCCTAGCTCCTACTTCATGCCTGCTGAGCTCCTGCTGAGTGCCTGTGAGCACCTCCTGTTGTGTTGCTCTGTTGGTCCTGTGAAGTCACTTCTGACTCACAGCATCACTATGTACAACAGAATGAAACGCTGCCCGGTCCCGCACCGTCCTCACAATCCTTGCTTGAGCCCCATATGCTTGAGCCCATCATTGCAGCCACTGTGTCAATCCATCTCATTGAGGGTCTTCCTCTTTTTCATTGACCCTCCACTTTACCAAGCATGACATCCTTCTTCAGGGACTGGTCCCTTCTGACAACATGACCAAAGTAGGTGAGACAAAGTCTGGCCATTCTCACTTCTAAGGAGCATTCCGGCTGCACTTCCTCCAGGACAGACTTGTTTGTTCTTCTGACAGCAAATGAAGGTCGTGAAAGCTTTATTCCATCCACATCATTAAGGTCAACTCTACTTTGAGGAGGCAGCTGTTCCCCAGTTGTTTTTTGAGTGCCTTCCAACCTGAGGGGCTCATCTTCTGGCATATATCAGACAGTGTTTCACTGCTATTCATGAAGTTTTCCAGTAATACAACAGACAGTGCTTCATGCTATTCATAAGGTTTTCAGTGGCCAATTTTTTCAGAAGTAGCCCCATCTTTCTTGTCAATCTATCTTAATCTGGAAGCTCTGCTGAAACCTGTCCACCATGGGTGACCCTACTGGTATTTGAAATACCGGTGACAGAGGCTCCAGCCTCACAATGGTACATAAGCCACCATAGTATGACAGACTGACAGACGAGTGGTGGGTGAGCACCTGCTGAATGTCTGTTTCACACCTGCCAAGCAGTCTGTGGGTATGTTAAGGATAGAGTGGTGGGCATGCCTGTATGAGCAGGGAGAGGGCAGGACAGCAGAGTGCGTGCCTGGAGGGCCCCAGACAGACGGGGAGCAGCACTAGAGCAACTGGGAGTGTGGAGCAAAGACAGTGCCTTGGCCGGTGGAGGTTGAGAGAGGGGTGACTCGAGGACATTTGGGAGACAAGCCCATGGAGCCTGCCTCTGGATGGTGTCGCAGGGCTGTGGGGGAAGGCCCTGGGCTGGAGGGAGGAGAGGCCACAGGAGGAAACAGCAGAGGGCAGCAGGCCACGAACTGAGAAAGGACTGAATTCCCACCAGACTGACCACTACAGCAAGGGCCTCCTAGCTCAGAGACTCACAGCTAAGAGGCTGAAGTCCCTGGGCACTGGGCTCGGCAGCCCCTGCAGTCTCAGGGCTAAAGTGGCCATGCTGGTGGCCAGGCCCTGCTGACCAGCTGCTGCTGAGGCAAAGCCAGAGTCAGGGCAGCAGCTCCCACCAGCCCTCCCCCTCCCCCTCCAATCTGAGCATCATGCTTGCTGTCCAGGCTGTCCACCATTGGTTTCCATCCCAAAGGCAGCCTCTCCATAGACCCCAACCTGCATCGGGACCCTGCCAATCAGCCCCTCAATATCCCACACCCTTGTATATGCCTCAGGGGAAAGTGGGTGTCAAGGGACAGCAGGTTGAGCTCATGGTGGCCAATGGGATGGGCAGCATTGCCCATCACAATGGTGTGTGGAAACAAGCTAGATTCTGGCACCCCTCCCACAGAGTTGCCAGCCCCAGGAGAAGCATCATTTGCCAGGGTCTGATTTTCTCAAGCTGTGACCAGCTCTAAGGTGTGAGGGACCACACGGGGCAAGGGCCAGGCCAAGGTGCAGGCTGGGGAAGGACACCAGCCCAGGGCCCGTGGCTGCACCATATGCTGTTGAACTTGGAGCTGGGCTTAGGTAGCTTCTGAGGGCGGCCCAGCAGCCCCCAGCGTGGGACCCTCCCACTGGCCCCCTCATTTGACTGGGTCAGCTCAGGGCCGAGTCCAGGCCCCATGTCCAGTGCTCACCGTGAGCTCACGCACTCCCTGGCCAGCGCCCTTGGCCGGAGGCTGGTTGGGCCGTGTGTTCCCTGAAACGCCTAGAAACCAGAACTGCTTGGAAACACGGTGCTGTTGCCATGCACAACTTTCCTCAGTGGGTCGGCCAGGGAGGCTGCCCATGGCCACTTGCCAGGCTGGCCCCTGCGCCCCAGCCCCAGTCCCCAGCCCCAGCCCACGCACAAAAGCCTGCAGCATGGTATGGGTGTCCCTCGCCAGTGCCTAGTCCCGGGCCCACGGCACCGTGGCTGTATCTGATGGAACTGACTCTGCCGAGTACATTCCTCTAGCCCCCCAAGGCCCACTTTCACTTGCTCCAGAAATGCATGGGCGACAGCAGCTCCCTCAGACGGCCGAGTTGAAGAATGACCGTGCAGCACAGCACAGTGGCCTAAGTTCTAGGCCTGGTGTCTGGGCTGCTACCCGCTCTCCACCATGGCCACCCCCCATATACCCCCGTTCTGAGGCAGCCACATTCCTGGTGTGAGCCGGGGGCCGGTGAGTTTTTCCACGCTTCGGTGCCAGCCCGCGGACTCAGGGGAGGGGAGAGGGTGGTTTCCATGACAACCTCACTTTTGTTATTTCTTATTTTCTTTTTTATGGATCCTCCAACTTTGAAGCTCTCCAGACAGTTTACAGACAGCCAAAAGGAAAAGTGCTTTTCCTTCGCTCCTGAGAAGCCCTGAGCTCCCCTCCAGGGGGGCTGTCTTCCCAGGGCACTGCCAGCCCTGTCCTCCATGCCCAGAGACCCCAGCCCAGTCCCAGGCAGCCCCTCCTTGCCCTGCGCCCAAGGGCCACAGTGGGGCTCCAGAACAAGGCAGACATACTCTGTTTTCAGAGCATCTGTTATTACGATAAACATTCTAGAGAAAATGAATTATTGTCCCCTAAAAAGATGCGGAAGTCTTCAAAAGCAAACCCACTCAGGCCGTGTCCCGAGGTAGCTGAGGGTGGGGTCTCCACCTGCATGGGGGACTCAGACCCCCTCCATCCTGGCAGAGGTGTTCTCTTCTGAATTCCCAGCCCCACTCTGCCCCCAGGAAGCCCGGGTGCCACCTGGGTCAGACCAAGATGGAGGCAGCTCCACTGACTTGAACCCAGCAATTCACCCAGATGTGGCACAGCACCCCAAGCGGGCCCTGATGAGGCTGGGTCCCCTGAGTGGGATCTCAGAGCAGTCACTCAGAACTAAGGAGACATGTGATGGGGAGGCTGGGGCTCGGGCAGTTTCCAGGACCCTGACAACCAGGGCTAGTAATGCAGGGGCAGGGGCAGAGGCCTGTGGGCAGCAGAGGATGTGACGGTGGGGTGGGGGCTCTGGGGGGAGGGGTGATGATCCAATTCGCACCTTTTGAACCCAAATCTGGCTTCTAGGTAGGACTTGGTGTCAGGGACAGAGGCCTGGGCAGGCAGTGGCCCCAGGAGTCCCATAGCAGTCCTCAGTGGTGCTGCAGCCCTCATGGGGAACCCCAGACCAGTGGGCCTGCGGCCCATTGCTGTCCGCTGGGAGGCCCCAAGAATGAGCACACCCCATCTGTTGCAGGGGAGTACGTGATCATGATCCATGATGTGACAACCCCTCCGTTCCTGGGCCACGTGCTGCCCCCCGCCTTCAAGCACGTGCGAGTCTCAGCAAAGGGCACCAGTCCTTGGCCTCACACCCCTGGAGAAGGCCCGGAGGCCCCACGCTAGGCACACCATGTGCTCCACAGTTAATAAAAATGCTCCACACAGCTGTTCGCGGTGCCGCCTACGAACACTAAGGCTTCTGCCCAACAGTACGGGGACCCTTCCCGCGCCTCCGGCCAGCCCCACCCAGCTCAGCTCTCTCCCTGGTCAGCCATGAGGTCAGTGCCACTGTGGGTCACCCTACCCACAGACACGGTCCTTATGGAGAGGGTCCTGTGTCTTTGGCCACTTGCCCATGACAGCTCTGAGCACTGGGAAGAATGGCAGTCTCAATGCAGGCAATGTGGGAAGTCGGAGCAATATATAGGTCCCTGCTTTACCAAAAACAAGCCAGGCAGCTGCGGTGACCTCCTCCTGAGGGTTTGCAGCCCTGCCCCATCTGCAAAAGGATTTGACAGTGATGATGATGACTACAACGGTCCCCCACTGGCTGCTGGGTGAAAAGTGGAGGATAGCATGGGGCCCACCAGAGGCAGGCCTCAGGGAATGCCCCTGCTCTGTGTGTGTGTGTGTGTGTGTGTGTGTGTTGAGGGGCGGGGGGCGGTCTGCAGTGGGAGTGGCTGCCATTTCCTCATCTATTCACAGCTACTTGTCCTGACACCCACCCCATAGGGAACTCCAGCCTATTGACCAGACCCCCACTTCTCTGCCCCTATTGTCCCTGCCCCCAGCTTCACCATGTTTTCTGCACATGACCCAGTCAGGGCTTACCTGTGCCCTCCTAGTCCCACCTATGTGCCAGGCTGGCCCAGATTCAAGACCACCAGCCCTACCCTGCAGGGACACTGCCCACCCCCACATCTCACAGGCAGAAGGTGCAGTCCCCTGCACTTTCTCCTGAGTGGTCACTTCAAGCCCCTCAGCACCCCACCCTCCTCCCCATCCTCACTGACCACTCTCCTTCAGGAGATAGCTGTGAGCACAGGACAAGGAGAGCGACCCAGAGATCCTAGGCCCTCAGCCCTGCACCAGTGCTGCCCAACCACACCCCATTTTGGTTACCTAGTGCCGCTCTGACAAGACTATATCACAATGGGATGGCTTTAACAAACAGGAGTTTGGAGGCTTTACGTCCAAGTTCAAAGTGCTTTAAGGGCTGGGTGAAAGCCCCTCCACCTTGGGCTTCAGCTCTGACTCGTGCTCCCGGCCCACTGAAACTAGAGGCTTTACTTCACTCAGACAGCTGCTGGCTGCTGAGGCTGACAAGCCCAAGGTCAACAAGTAAAAAGGCACAGTCCCAATGTTACCAAACAACACTTCAGGCCACTAATTCAAGTCAGGAGAAGTCCCAAGATCAGCAGGGGATGGCAGGCTGCTGAACGACTCGGCTACATGCAGGGTTCAAGTGTGCCATAAGCTAATAGAGACCTTCCTCAAAGTTGCTTCTTATAGACTGGAAGCAGCCCACATCCCTAAAGCAGCTACTCAGCTGCTCCAGTACATTCTACCATGGAGTTAATTACCAGTCTCACCATGGGGAAGTAGTACATCCAGCTGCCCAGCCATTCAACCAGGCCCAGCCAAGTTGACATACAACCTTAACTACCACACCCCCTGAGCCAGCTGAGTCCCCATCTCTTGCATCAGGAAGCCCCCTCCCACAATAGAATTCTCTATAAGAAATTCACACTGCCACCCTTCCCACGACTCCCTCCACCCACCACCCCCCAGTCGATTTCACACCTTCCTTCACAGAAGGCCAGTGTTGTCTACACTGGCTGTCTACACTTCCTCTCCCCACTCTCTCTCAAGCCCATGCCCATGGGAACCCCACTCCACAATACTGTTCACACCAAGGTGTGCCAGTAACACCTACACTCTGACCCCAGGACACGTGTGGCCTCCCAGTCACCATGGGAGCCTCTCATCTCTGCACTCTTGTCCCATGGGTCTCAGGAGAACAGGCACATCTCAGCAGCCCCTTGGCCTCCTGCTCGTCGGTCCTTCTTATCTTGGCCACCAGTGTCAGGTCTGGGCTTGGTCCTCTGTCTACAATCAATTCTCTGTAAGCACCTTCCCTGATGCCAACCCCAGTGTCTCTCTACAGCTCAGACTCTGCACTAACCTAGGCCCATACAGCAGCCCACAGGACAACCTTCCTGGGACATGTGGAGGCATTTTAGACATGTCCCACACTGGCTTCCTGGTTGTCCTCATAAAAGCTGACAGTCCCTGAGCCATTCAATGACTCAGCCCACAACCACTAATGTCAACCTTTGCTCCTCCCTCTCTCTTGGCCCACCACAGAGCTCACTAGCTCACAGGTAGGGTGCATCCCCCATCTTCCTGCACACCTACATCTCACACCACGTTTTGACCCCTGGCCTGCATCACCATGCTTCCCACTTGAGTCATTGCTGTTGCCTCCAAATGGCTTCCTTGCCTCTGCCCTTGACCTCTGCATCCCACAACTGCTTCCTCACACAGCAGCTATTGTCAGATCACATCCCAAAGTCATGACCAGGACCTATGGGCTGACATGAATGGGTCCTCACTATCACTTGCTGTCCTCCCCTCCCACTGAGCCCCTCTTGTTCTCTCTATTCCAGCCACACTGGGCACCATGTCCTCAGTCACGCCAGGCCTGCCTCTGCCCCAGAACCTTTGCACGTGCTTTTCCTCTACCAGGACTTGCTTTCTAGCTTCCTCCAAGTGTTTACTCAGAAGCAGCCCTCATGAGGCCTCCTTAGCTGCCCTTTCTGAAACCCTACCCCACCCCCAGCAACATTTCAGAGTCCCCTCTGTCCCTCCTCTTTTTCCTTTGCATGTATCACTACCCAACATGCTATCTATTTTGTCTTGTTCATTGTCTCCCAAAGGGCAGGAACTGTAAGTTTTGCTCACTATTATGGCCTCAGCATCTATCACAACACCTGACACCCCATAGGCACTCAGTGAAGAGCTGTTGAATGACTGAGTGGATTTTGAGCACCTCCTCTGTACCGGGCAGTGTGGTTCACCACTGGGATGGTGATGAACAAGGCAGATGAAGCGTGTAGGAAGGACTGGCTGATAATCAAGTAAGAGCTTCATGATTGGAAAGATGGATGGAAGGGTAGATGAATGGGTGAAGGGACGGAAGAAAGAGTCGATGGATAGATGGATAGATGCTATATGGGTGGGTGGATGCACAAATGAAAGTGGCCTAATTGATGGAAGGAAGAGTGGTTGGAGCGGTGGATGGGTGGGAAAGTGGATGGATGGTTGGGTGGATGGATGGATAGATGGGTGGATGGGTAGATGAGTGGGTGGATGATAAATGGGTGGATGAGTGCATGAATGGGTAGATGAATTGATGGGATGGACAATGAGTGGAAGAGTGGATATTTAGATAGATGGGTGGCTAGATGGATGGATGGATGTAATTAAGTATGGATAGAGTAGAAGCGTGTTTGTCTTCAGGAGGTATGAATATTCAGGAGGTATGAATGTTCCACATGGAATAAATGTGTTCTGATTTGAAGGGTGAGAAAAGGCAGAAGGAGAAAGGATTCCTACATCAAAGCCAATCCAAAGCCAATGAGCTGCTCCTTCTCAAGCCCTGGCAGCCATCCTATGGCTTCACCTTCCATCCTTCTTTTGGGTTCCCCCACCCAAGTTTCCCTCAACATAACTGAACCAGTCAATAGCTGAGGGATGGGGTTGTCCAGATGAGCCAGTCCTTCCTGCAGGAGCAGAGGAGCCCAGCCTGGTCCCAGGGCGACCCTCCAAGCCCTGCCTGGGCCAAGTGCCCAGACCTGGTGAGACAGCAGGGCAGGCGCTGCAGTGGATGATCAATGTGAGAGTTTAGAAATGTGAGAATGGGGCAGGGGGGAGTCCCAGAACCTGACGGGAACTGAACAGTGCAGGTGCACCTGCCTTGCCTCTTGTTCCATGAGCTCTGGCCTCCCAGGAAGGCCAACTCTTGGGTCAGAGTGCCTGAGCCAGGGGCTCAGTCCTGCCCAAGCCCGGTCCTGGAGCTGCCTGCTGTAGGCAGAGCCCACCTAGGGAAGTGTGGGCCGTGCTCACACACAGCTGCATAAACACAGAAAGCAGCTTCCTGGCACTGTGACGACCCGCCCAGGCAGCCTAAGTTGGCAGAGGCACCTGCAGGACCACACAGCCGTCCCAGGAGGATGCCAGTCAGAACGCCCAGGGGCAGGCATCACAAGGCCCAAGGGGCTTGCAGACTACATAGACCAGGGTGGGTACCAGGGCGGTGGGCACACTGAGGAAGGCCTGCTATCTGGGGAAGAGGCCGGGGGTTCAGGAAGCCAGCACTGCAGAAGCACACTGGACAACATGGGAGTACAGCCAAGGAGTACAGTGGATGGGAGTGGTCTGCTCCCTGTCCCTGGACATGTCCCAGCACAGACCATAGTCCCCTCCAGGTGCAGCAAGCGGGCCATTGCTCGGGCAGGGCTGAGTGCTCACCAGGACTCCCTGCTCTGAGCTCTGCCATCCAAGGCCATCCTGCCTGGCACAGTGAGCACCATTTGGTGAGGAATGTGCATCCCTGCCACCCTGAGCCATGACAAGGCCAGAGCTGGTGAGCCCCCAGGGCACCCACACTCCAGCTGAGAGGACATGGGCAGGGCTGCCTCTGTCCCTCCTCTTCCAGAGCCCACAGGGCTGCACCTCACACCTTAGGTCCATGCCCACCACAGCTAGTACCCCCAGAGACCACGGCAGACTGGGGCCCCACCCCACCCCCACTGCAGTCTCTAGAGGCCTCAGAGCCTAGAGCTGGCCTAGACTGCAGCAGTAAGTGTCCCTAGGGTTCTGACAGTCACATACCCTTGTGACTAATTCTGGCATCACCTACCCTCTTCCCACCCAAGCCAGGGCCTGGGCCCACCAGGGCTGCTCCCTCCTGGGTCACCTCTGAGGAGGCCCTGGCAGACACCAGGCACACTGGCCCTGCATGGGGTGCAGGGTGAGGGAGCCTCTTGTGAGAATCAGACAAAGGATCCCACGCTCCCCAAACCCCCAGAACAGCTGCACCCGTGCACTGTGCCACTCGCCCAGGTTTGCCCCTCAGTCAGCAAATCTCTTTGCAGCTCTCTCTCTCTCTTTTTTTTCCCCCTTTAAGATGAAACCACATTTCTGTCAAAAGAAAAACAAAGAAAATGATGTTTCAATTTAGGGAGAAGAAATTGCTGGGAACAGAAGCAGCTGC